AGCGACGAAAGCGACAAATCACAACTGTCATGTCCGTCTCCCGACTTGAAGTGACCAAGCTCTCGCAACGAACGTGTTGGCACGCTGCCCATAGACGTGGCCAAAAAGCTTTACAGAACAATGACACCTCTTCAAAGGTGAGAGGGCGCAGATATGCAGTGCTTTCAGCAGTGGTAGTCGTATGCTTGGTCATGTATGGCGTGTTGCGTGACCATCCCGAACATTCCTTCCAGGTGGACACAGTTGAACATTCAGCTATCATAACCCATCCTCCACTGTTACGCACTTCCAAGTGGTGAATACGATGCCTTCAGTAGCTGCAAACCTGCTCATGGATAAGGTAAACTCGCAGTTGTGCAAGCATTGTGTTTTGAAGACTTGGTTAGTCTAGCGTAATCTATCTTGGTACGGATTCTAGCCATCGAGCGGCGAGCAGGCTCCCTTTGGACTGGTACCTGAGATACACACTAAACCATGCCACTCACAAGCACCCGCGGGAGTATGCTGCAAGACAATCCTATCATGCCGAGTGGTGGGCGTGGCGAGGCAAGGCTGTTCCTCGTTGAGCGCTAAAGGGGTGAAGAAGTTGGCATGGAGTCTTTTCTCCACTTTCGCTGACCAGCTCAATAAAGAGGTGCCTGTCAAGAATTCCCCGCCTACGTTGTAAGGGTGCGCTGTGCTCGATGTGGCGAGCAATCACGATTAAGATTCTCCTGTCCGTCTCTTGACACGCACTGACTGTGAGATATGATTTTCGAACGTATGAACTTCAAAAAGCCTTCAGAACAACGCAAAATTTAGTTAATATCGTTGCAATCAGCCGAGGCGGAGTCAGGAGAGACGGAATGAGCCCCCTCCGGCTGCCTTTTCTGAAAGTGCTGATCGACTGGTCCATAAGTGATGGATTCAAGGAAATAAAACAACAAATAGTAACGCGGCAGGTGGACTCATACCATGCCTCTTGACACCCTCGCGACTGATTTCCACGATATAAAAAGAGAATTGAAGCACCACAAAGCGTATGATGTAAATTGGATCTTGACATTGTGAATGGATAAGGCTCATCGGAAGCACTAGTAATACCTACAACTTCAGAAAATGAATACGAGCCACCACTTCCGAATATCTTCTCTATGCATTGGTTTCTCACGCTGTTTTCCACATGCCTACCAAGAGACTGTGTGATGCGAGTTTGGGATGCGCTGATGTTACAAGGGTCCGAAATTCTTCTTCGAACTGCTGTTGCATTGTGGTCAAAAATGAGCAGGTGAAAAACTTTTTTAATCTGCTTGGAGGTTTTATGATACCTGTGTAGAGAGATTTTTTGACTTTCTGCAAGAGGCAGTGGTCTAAATATAGAGAACCCTTTCTCTCACAACTCAAGTCTTCCTTGCAGAAAAATACTGCGAACATCCAGTGCTGACGAGTTCTACACACTCATGGGCAAGCTCTGTAAAGAGTTGGTGGAGATGAATCAGGAAGAGCAAGATCATCTTATGACGGTTAGCCAGTTTCTTGGATTCGAATGGAAAGAAAAAGATTTTTGCGAATGTAAGCTGAAACAAACAAGTGAGTCTGTTAATTCCACAGCTTACGGCCGGAATAACTTGCAAATTTCAAACAGCTTTACTATTTTTCTGAATTATTCAATGAGCTCTGCTCTTTCCTATCTCTACTATTTTGCGTGCTTGCTTGTTTCCACTGGGAATCGAAGGATCATTGAATGCGATGTGGCCTATACAATGAGTTGCCGGGGCTGATGAACAATCAGTGATCAAGCTGATATTGTTTGATAACTGCTGTTTAACGCCGCAGTACGCGATCCGAAAGCTATCACAAGAATGCTGAGTTATGGGCAAAAGTCGGACCACGGACGGGATTCGAACCCGCATCTTCTGCTTACCGGGCAGTTGCGTTCCCTATTACGCTACCGGGGCCACTTTTGACCTCTCAGCTCAATGGCTATTTGTGCCATAGCCTTACAGCACTCACACGTTCAACGTGATGAGCCGGTTAGCCGATATCGGCAGTGAACCGCAAGGCTGAAGGCTTTTACAAATTCAGCTGTATTGTTTTTGGTAATAAATCAGTGATCGTTTCCTCCGAGACGCATCCGGTACCAGTCCGGAAGGCATAGTCATCCGGGGCGGGAGCAGGTCCGGGATTGACCCCTGAATTGAGCGCGTGCTAAGGCTACACCACCTCTGCCATGGGTTGGCTATGCGTTCACACTTTGCGGCAGCATCCGCCAGCGACGACCAGCGTTTCAAGGGATTTGGAAACTATGGAAAACAATCTAGCTTATACCAGCGTCCACCAATGTCTCTCAGCGACCACCAGCATCTCGAGGGACTGGAAAAGTATGGATAACGATCTGGCGTCTACCAGCGTCGACCGACCAGCGACCACTACAGTTCATCACCGTCTAGGAGTACGGTATTATGTAGTAACACGGTGCGGTTGCACATGCAACAATTTCACGAGTCCTAATCCAGCTTCCTTCGACTTCCCTGTTCTCTACCAGTAATGAGCTGCCCCCTTACTTCTCCAAACTCTCTACTTACTCCTGTCGGTGGTAGATGCTGCTGGTCGTTGGTGGACGCGCTTCAAAATATGAACGCACCCTATGCGCCACATACTCTGCTTGATTTCGGAGCCGGAGTAGCATTGCGATTTGGTCTATACAGTGAATTGCGGAAGTTAGTTTGCAATTCAGAATTTTTATACTCCCAAAAATTACGGTACCAATTAAGAAACCCTTGGACATGGAACACTTGGTTGGCTCAGGCTGGAGTCTATCCTCTAGTCTGCATCTCTAGTCTGCGCTTGGTAAGCCGTGCCACACACTGTATCAAGCCTAAGTGGCAAGCTGCAAAACGCAAGTTGAAGGATTATAGGAAGGTGTCGTTTAACGGAGCTCGTGGAGGATTCCTCGGCTTACTGAACGGTTAAGCCTCTCCAAACAGAACTCTTCGACTTCTGCGAGAAGTTGTAGATGGTGGAGCTGTTAAATAGAGATATCTGTCGAAGTCTCAGTGTAAGGAGACGATTTTCTAGGTGATCTACACAATGGCAGAGTTTCCGTATCCAGGCTTGGCAGAGCTGCGGGAGAAGCATAAATGGAATATCCAGCCTCTCACTCCATCATTCAAGTTGGTTCGAAAAAGCGCCGACGACATTCTCCATGATGGCCGAGCTGAAGAATCAACTTGCTCACCATGTTTGTTCCAACACGCTATTCTACACAGTTTTTCTTAAAAATATATATTATTGAATGCATTTATGGTCCCAGGGTAATACATTTGAAGGAACGTGCCACACCAGTTATATGGCTAAGGCTGGGGCTGCCATCATGTCTCGCCATTGGTGTGACCCTCCCTTCTAGGGTAATAAAGGGAAGTGTGGAATGCACCAGCGAGGAAACACAGTAGTGGACCTGCTTTCATCCATGTCGCAATATAACACCCCCGTCGGAGAAAAACACTAACACTGATCTTACTGTATCGATTGGTGGAGTGGGAGAATCCGCCAAGGAGTGAAACTGATATAAATGCGATCAACTCAGCCCTTTCTGCATTCAGGAAGATCCCAATTCTCCAAGGTGGCAGACTGTGAACATTTCTGTATGCTCTCCCCTCAGGGTATACCATCGCAATCTGTGAATTGGTGTTGTAGGTACGACTCTCCCCTCTCCTCACTCCGAAAGAGGGTGTCAGTACGATCGCCACCTAAATGGGGGTCTCGGTGCGGTCCCCTCCCCCTTTCCCCAGCACCCGCCTACCACCTTCCTACATTTTCCAATTTTTTAAGCAAAATTTTGCTGTCGAGGGGAGGGGGGGGGGGGGCGCGGACGGATAGAAGCGGGTGGAGGGCATATAGTGCACATGAAAGAGAAAAAAATCACGCGAATAGTCAACAACCGGGGAGGGGGGGATTTTCCCCAATGCAGCAACGCAGCAAATTTCTCTCAAAGGAGGCACATACGACC